ACTCCTGATACCATCTCAAAGTTAGAATGCAACGGAATGCTTGACTAGAAAGGAGTTGGGGTACAAATAGGAAACCCTAACATGTTTGTACTCACTAAGGAGCACCTCACTACAGCCTATCACAAATATCAACATTTGACAAAAAATGTTGGGTGGGCTTATAATAGGGCTTTTTTTATAAGCCCATGGGCTTTTTAAATGACACTTATAGAAATTTGAATCTAGACCGCAATCCCCCGGATATAAGACCCTAGGGTCTTATGTAAAATTCACCAAAAAAATGGGGGGGGGTCTTGTCAAATAGTAAAGATTGTATAGTACAGGTGTCGTCTCCTTCCCCACAGTCATCCTCACAGTCACCGCAGCAGCCTTCGGCACTACTGCAACAGGTTGCGGTGGACTATGGGGGTGTTTATGCTGGAGCCATGGGCACTGGAGGTGTTGGTTCTGAGGGTGCTAGAGCTGGGGGTGTTGGCACTGGAGGTTCTAGTTCTGGGGGTGCTGGAGATGGAGGTACTGGCGCTAGAGGTGCTAGTTCTGGGGGTGCTGGCACTGGAGGTGTTAGTTCTGGGGGTGTTGTAGCTGGAGGTGCTGGCACTGGAGGTGCTAGTTCTGGGGGTGCTGGAGCTGGAGGCACTGCCTCTGCGGCGCCTGCTCAGCCTTCCCACCGCTACCCGACGCATCATCAGACTCATAGTTGGCTTGAGCGCGAGGAGCAGGAGAGGTTGGCGCAGGAGAGGCTGGAGCAGGAGCAGCAGCAGCAGCCACAGTAGCAGCAGCAGTAGCCGCAGACGCCAAAGCCGTCACTTTTGCAGCTGTTGTTCCCACATGTGAGTGGCTCCCTTCCTCTCCTCTGTACCACTCACCGCCTCCTACTGCACACGGCCTTCCTCCTCCGGACTCGTCTCTGGCCCTTCTCTCCTCCTCGGTCACAGCCGCCTCCTCCTGCTGTCCCGCACACCTGGACCACTCGTTGTCCCCCAGGTGCTCGTGCCTTGTCTCCTCTTAGCGACCTCCGCTCTGTCTTGTTTCGTTCTAGTTCTCCTCGTTCTCCGCCTCTCTTGTCACGGACACTAGTGCCTCTCCGCCGACTGTCTCGGCTCTTGTCGCCTTTTGCGGGATTGATTCCGTTTTTGCATGCCTTGTATGGCACCTCCAGCGATCTTTTCCTCCGCGCGGGCCCTTTCGTCGAGGCTTTGGCTTTCGAGGCAAAGGGGACCCCTCGGGGCCTTTCGTTTTCGCTTTCACGCAGCATCTGGTCATGGAGCCTACCAGGCAGGATTTTGTCGACCTTCTCAACTACGCCAACGATACGTACATCTTGGGGCCTAGGCAGCCGGTGTTGGCAGCCTAGCGACTGGGTGGGCTTGGCTTGGAGGTGCAGCCGCACAAGTGCAAACTAAGGGAGCATGGTGGGATCAAGAAGGAGAGGAGAGGGATGAGGCACTTCCGCCCGGCATGCAACAAATCTGGACAGGGCTCACCGTAGTGTGTGTCCCTATTGGGGGGAAGAATTGGGAGGTGACTTGCTTGCGGGACCGCCTGACGCAACTGTAGGTACCTGTCGCATGGCTATCGCGACGCCCCCTTGACCACCCACATATTGTGTTTCATCTGCTAGCGATCGCGACGCCCCCTCGACCAGGAATGGTGGAGGCTTTTCGAGTTTGGGACACGCTCCTCGAGGACTGCTATAAGCAGCTGTTCCCTCCCGGTAGCTGGGATTATGATCCGGAGAAGACCCAAATAACTCGCTTGCAGCTGCACCTTCCTGCCAAACTGGGAGGCTTCGGCATTCGACCTGCAGCTGACGTCCTTTGTCGTACGCTTGTTGTTGGTGCCCGGCAGGGAGCGATGTTGATCGAATGGGGGTGGCAAGAGAGGAGCGGAAGTTTGAGGAGTTTGCTTGCACGCCTGAGGCTATGACCTTGCTGTATTCCTAGTTCGCGAGTGTAGGGGAGCTACTCCCACAGCTGGTACGACAGGAGGTGTCGTTCCTAGCTTTGTACACCGCTAACCCCCCACCAATGCTTTTCCCTACGTAGAACCGTCGACTGGTAGTTGAGAGTTCACAGTCGCTTCGAGGCATGGCTCACTCCACCTTGGCCCGTTTGACATCCCTTCAGGGCCCGGGGGCAGGAGCGTGGGTCTCCGCCGTTCCTTCTCATAACGAGGCTAACTTCACCGCAACTGAGTGGAGCATTCGTGCCACCATGCATCTGGGCTTCCCTATCTAGAAGCTGATGTTTGTTGGCAAGTGTGTTTATGGGGTCGAGTTTGCTGTTTTATATGATCCCCATCATGGCCCCCGCTGCAAGCATCAGTACACACATTCACGAGTCCATGACGCAGTTAGTTTGTGATGGCCATGATAGCTAAATGGTCCGGTGGGGTTGTGACAATGGAGAATGACACATTGCTTCAGGGAAATAATGTGGATGTGGTGGTTTGGAAACCGGGCGAGGGGGAGGCGCATGCGCTTGAGGTCAGCGTTGTTGACTCCATCTCTCTGCCTATGCAGCAGCATAAGCAGACTCGCCGGAAGGAAGGTTTTGCCGTTAAGGAGAGAGAAAGGCAGAAGGCGACATATTACAAATCCCTCTTGCAGCCGCATAGGGGAGTGCACTTCACCCCTCATCGCATAAATATGGGGTTGCATAGGAGGTAGCTTTGGGCGGTGGGTTAAAAGGGAACCTAAATGGACTCTCGACGTACTTGCTCGGATCACTACGTGCTGCCATTAGGGTGGCTTTGCAGCGAGCCCAGGGACGCGCAATCATTTTACGCGTGGCGTCAAGAATGAGGGGCCTAGAGCAGGGCTGTTTTTATCAGGGTAATTACCCTGATTTCAGGGTGATTTAAGACTTGTCACCGTGTGGTCCCTGTAAAATCAGATTTAACGAGTTTTGGACACTGATCCAGTCACAGTAGTGCTTTAGCGGAGCCTGAAATTTTGTGTATACTCTCAGAGTAGTGTTCTTAAGGACCCTGTCAATACAGAGTACGCGTCCTGTGGACCCTGAATGAGACGTTATCGGGACGAAGCTTTCCAGAAATTTCGTTCCGATTACCCCCCATGTGCGTAATCATGATTTCGCTTATACCCATGTGAGGGAGCCCTTTCACGCGCAGAACTGACGTAATACCGACAAGTAACACCACTCTCCGCTGTATAGCATCGTTGTACAGCACAACTGTCAACTTTGACAGCGCAACTAGAATCATTATTTCTTCTGCCACGCGCACCGTGCAAAGGACAGTACGTGTCCCTCATTGGCGAGTGACACATGTTGGCAGTCGTCGCTGGCAGGGCTGTTTGTCCTTCAATGTATTCGGCCTTGCATGAAGGGCCGAATACATTGACAACTCGAGGTTTTGGCCACCGAGCCATCAATTTCGTGGCGACGCGGAGGGGTCTTGCTGACCCCATCTTCTCCAACCATCTCTTGCTTCCCCCTCCCCCCAGCCAGGGTCCACGAGGTGCCGCTCTTATTTTCACTTCGTTCATTTTTTTCTCTCAGTATCTCTCTCTCCCCCTCTCTACTTGCTCGCCGCCATGGAAGGCCTGCAGGTCGACGATGATTCTCCTCAGGCTGGCTCAGATGAGCCACCGTTACCGCCGAAACCCACGGATCCTACTCTGTCGGAGAAAGCTTATGATGCCCGTTGCTCTGGGCTCGATTTTCTTAGAACTAGCGCTTTTCCAGTTACACCCGATCCTCCGAGGTCCACCGTCCATGACTCTGCAGCTAGAGAAACTTCCACGCCGACTGATTCTCCCCGTCCCGTCGCCTTCACTCTACCCCCGGCTGTTGCTTCTTGCAGTAAAGATCCCCCACCGGCCGCTCCAAGTCCCACACCAAGCACGGTGCGGGTGTCCGTTGGTCCTCTATCGGCTTCTTCCTGCCCAAAGCGAGCGCGATCTGGGAAGTGGGTGCAGAGTACCCTGCTAATCGGAGGCCGCCGTATTCCAGCGCATGACAACCCGGCTGATCCACCACCTGATGTCGCTGATATCCCGGAGTCAGCTGACATCCCTGTCCGCGCGGACACCGGCTCGCCCGCACTCACCAAGATGCAGCTGAGAGAGCAGATGTACCTTGAGGCGAGTATCAATTACGATACTAAGTGGCCGGGCATATTTTCGTGGCTTGTCTTTGGGAAACCCAAGGATGGATTTCCCTATGTGAAGTGCAGCGTCTGCATGTCGTACGAGAAGGAGAACACGAAGTACGCCAGGCAAGGTGATGACGGTGGCCGTGACTTGCAGACGCAGTCGTTCCGGGCTCACGGACGCTCACACGGCGGCGGTTGAGCGGCAGATGAAGACTGCGAGGGGCAGCATGTGATTTCAAACTTCATCAACTCGGACATCGAGGGGAGGCGCGCGATTCGACTCATGCGGTCGGTTCAGTTTCTGTGCGAGTGCGACGCGCCGATCAGCATGTTCCCGAAGCTGATGCGGCATCTTGCGGAGCAGGACACGCCGACATTCCGAGGCAATCTTACGGGGTCTGTATGTCGCTGTTTCCGAGTGTTGCTTTCTTACGGTTTTTGCGTTTATTGTTTCCTTTATTTGTTACTAACATGTTGACTTACAAACATGTGCAGGTATGGTTTCCAGCAGATGGTTCACAGCATCAGTACCTACCTGACGAGGGTGCAGATGGACCATATCCAGTCTTTCCCATTCTTGGGCCTCAGCTGCGACGAGAGCACCGACCGAACGCGAGGGAAACATATGATTGTTTACCTCACATTTTTTATGAATCGCCGAGTCGCCACAGAGTTCTTTACCCTGCTGAGCCGTCGATGTGTCCAAGATTGTGGGAGTCAGTGACGGGGCGTTGGTGATGTTCGGGAAGGATAACGGTTTGGTGGCACGGATTCGGGAACACGTCCCGCATCTCTTTTCCTATCACTGCATCGCCCACCGGTGAGTTTGCTAGACGTTAAGATGTGCAGTAGCAGACACTTGTTTTAAACTCACATGTTGTGTTATGTCCCCTGCGTCCTACAGGGAGGCTCTCGCTGTGAAGGATGCTGCGACGTCAAATCCGGACCTGGACATGGTGGACAAGGTGGTGCGCACTGTGGCGGCAGAGCTCGGGAAGTCGTGCGTCTGGAGTCAACGCTTCAAGTACCTGCAGCGAGTGATCTACAACACGAACCTTGAAGTCCAGGGGATCCACACGGTTCGGTGGCTGTCACGAGGGGATGCGGTGCGTCGGCTCTGCAAGGTCCTGGGCGCGTGCATTGTTCTACTCTGGGAGAACAGCCACAAGGCGTACGAGATTGTGACGAACTACAAGTTCCAGTTCTGCCTGTTCTTCCTCGACGACATCCTCGCCGACATGAACAACCTCAACCGTTGTTTCCAGAAGCGTGATGTAAGGTTTTTTACTTTCGCGAGTTGGCCTCTGTGTACATGGTTTGTTTTCCTATTTATAACTGTCTAACATGTGCTCAATGGCTGTACTATGACAGCTTGATGTGACGGAGCTTTCCAAGACCATTTAGTCCACCACGGCGGATCTGACGGAGCGGTACTTGGACAACGACAAGCCGTTCAGTGGCGAGAGCAAGTGCTGGCTGGTCGGCTTTCTGCAGCTGCATGGGCAAGGCGGAGGCAAGAAGGTCCGGGTGCGAGGCGTGGACGGGGAGGGACGCCCAATCAACCACCTCTACACTATGCACGAGAGGCAGCTCCCGGGGCACAAGTACGGAAACACCTAAGCCGAGTGCGTGAAGCTGTGCCGCATGTTCGCCCGCGATTGCGTGGACAACCTCAACGAGCGTCTGGATGACCTGGGGAAGCTGGGGCTGACGAAGCTGTTCCGGGCGGGGAAGTGGCCGAAGATCAAGGCTCAACGGGAGCGGAAGTGCTGTGAGTGGCTTTACGGATGCAGGAAGCTTTTCTGCAACAAGCTCCCGGCATTCGATCTCAAGGCCGTAAAGAGGGAGCTTTCGACATTCTGTGCGATAATGGAGACGCACCACGAGCTGGAGAGCTTCGCGCAGGTGCTGACCAACATTCTCGGGAGCGCTGACTCGAAGAGGTACCGCTCTGCTCGGGCCAGCGCGAGAAGCCTGTGTTTGTGTGCATGTCATTAATGTTTCTTCACGTTGTGTGCTGCTGCGTAAATGTACCTGGCAGGAGATGGCCCAACCTCATCCTTCTATGGCAGGTGATCACTGTACTCCCCCTGTCAACCGTGGAGTGCGAGAGGGGATTCTCCAGGCAAAACGTCATCAAGTCGTGGATGCGAGGCGCGCTCTGCAACGCGCGACTGGGCGAGCTGATGCAGATCTCGCTCCTGAAGTATGACATCGACTGGCCGGAAGCACTGGAGGTCTGGAGGTCCATGAGGAGGAGGCGCCCTGCGAAGAGCGCGAAGCTGGCTGTGGCAGAGCGTGGGAGGAAGGGGAAAGCGAAGGAGGGTGAAGACGAGGCAGGAACTGCCGGGCAGAACGAGGAGGAGGAGGGGGAGGAGGAGGAGGAGGATGTGGAACAGGAGCTCGGCGACGATCGGGACCTCGTGGGGGAGGAGGAGGACAATCCCTTCCTCTCGGACGATGAGGATGTGGAGGAGGTGTTCCATATTGACAAGACCGTGCACTAGATAGTGTAGAAAACTGCTAGCATGCTGTATACCGCAATGAAAAGCTTAGTGCAAAATTTAAAGCAACCCTAATTACATGCTGTGAACCCTGACGAATCAGAGTGAGACGTTGTTGGACACTAAGCAATCAGAGTAGCAAACTTCAGAAAAATGTGCACCCATAATTCGCAATGAATATTTTTCCCGGAATTAGGGAGGCCTAATATGAAACGTCGGCCCTGGCCCAGAGGTTGTTTTGGTGGAGCGAGAGGATATCGAGCATGATTTAGGATATGCCGCTTCATGGGAGGATGCACCTCACCAGGTGGATATGCGGGCGTAGAGGCTGGGTAGCGTGTTAGGGAAATTTAACAGGCTTTGTCATGGTGTGTTTGCTACTGTAAGGAAAATTCCTTTTCCTTACTCCGCATCCCTGCTTACCGCATACATGCCCATTCCCGCCATCGGCACCCATCCGTGAACGTTACCCGCTCGCGACACTCGCATCGACCACGACTCCCGCCACTGTTCACGATGCGACCCAACCTCACGGTTCGGTTGGTAACCCGCGCTCCGGACCTCCGCCTCAACGATTCCCAACCTCGGCGCTAGGCCCGTCGCGCGCCCCAATTTCCACACATTACCGTTACCACTATAGTTTCGCTATATATTCTTCGCTCATGCCTTCGCTCATTGTACTCTTGCTTCGATAGTGCAATTCTCGCTCGCTCACTCAATTGCACTTGTAACACTTGGTATTCAGAGCCTACGATCTCTTCTCGGATCGCACCCACACCTTCGCTTCCCCACTATCTCAATTTTTGGGGGGGGTAGACGTCTCTCAGCGAAACAAGCACCGCCGCTCGTAGTGCTCTCTCGTAAGCACGCACGGCCACGACAGAGGCTCTCGCTGAGCTTGCCCGACACCCCCGCCATGGCCGGATTCACTCTCGCGACACTGACGCAGGAGCAACTCGACCGTCTCGTGCGCCAAGTCGAAGACTCAGCGCTCGAAGTTGCGACACTCACGGCGGAACGTGACTCCGCTCGTCAGCAATCCACGGTGAATGCTCCAGCGCCACCACACGCACCTGCAAATGCACCCGCACAATCGGAGGAGCCGATCGTCATTTCATCAGGCACACCGACACAAAACGACAGCGTGGGACAGCGCTCAGGCGCAGGTAGTGATGGCGCCGCCCAATCGATGCCTGGCATGGAGAGGAACAGGGCCGCGCCAAGCCCGCAGGGGCCTCGCGAAGTCCGTCGGCACGTGGAGTTTGCGGCGACAAGTGGTGACCACACCATCATGGCACCAATGCCACTCAAGCTGCAACGCCCGCCCTGTTTCGACCCGAGTCAGCGTGGAGGTCCGACGGTTCAATCGTGGGTCTTCACGATGAACGTCTTCTTCGACGCGAACTACATCGAGTCGGACGCAGCGAAGATCCGATACGCCGTCTCGCTGCTGAGGGGCCCCGCCATGGACTGGTGGCGAGTCATCGTGACGTCACCACGCGCCTACGAGCCACCGCCGCAAGAGGAAGGGCCCACGGGTCCAGCCGTCACCTGGAGTTCATTCTGCGAAACCGCCCAGTATAGCACGTGGGACGCGTGGTGCGCAGGGCTTCGGGCGCGCTTCGAGCCGATCGCGGCTTCTATCTCGGCGCGTCAGAGACTGCGTACTTGGCGGCTGCTCGGATCGGTTCAAGACTACACGAGCGGTTTTCTCGCATTATGCGAGCAAGTCGGCTACATGCACGAAGCGGAGCGGGTGGACCGTTACGTCGGAGGGCTGAAGCCGGACATCTCGCACGAAATCATGCTGCAGGGCAGAGCGAGGATCAGAGGGCAAGAAATGAAACAGTCTGAAGAAGCGAGGAGAGAGAGGAACGGATGTAGGGAAGGCAGTACAGGAACCGAACAGAACCGAACAGAACCGAACAGAACCGAACAGAACCGAACAGAACAGAACAGAACAGAACAGAACAGAACCGAACAGAACAGAACCAGAAACAGAACAGAACAGAAACAGAAACAGAAACAGAACAGAACAGAAACAGAAACAGAAACAGAAACAGAAACAGAAACAGGAACAGGAACAGGAACAGGAACAGGAACAGAAACAGAAACAGAAACAGAACAGAACAGAACAGAAACAGAAACAGAAACAGAAACAGAAACAGAAACAGAAACAGGAACAGGAACAGGAACAGAAACAGAAACAGAAACAGAAACAGAAACAGAAACAGAAACAGAAACAGAAACAGAAACAGAAACAGAAACAGAAACAGAAACAGAAACAGAAACAGAACAGAACAGAACAGAACAGAACAGAACAGAACAGGCAGAAGCGTTTGGGTGGATTGAGGCGAGTTGAGTAGATTGCAGTGGGTGAACGGTGGGTGTACAGGGCAGAACACAACTCTGCGTGCAGTAATGACTCACCATTGCTGCCCCGTGAATCGCGTTGACGTGGCAATGCCAGCTGGCAGCAACAGATTGGAGGATTGCAACGATGCGACAACAAGGTCAATACGGTGGTCACCTGTGGATAATGGGGCCAGCGGGGCACAGAGGGGTGAGAGCGGTAAGTGGCAGGCGGAGGCCCAAGGCACATGCATGGTGGGGAGGTGGAGGGCACGGCACAAGCAAGCAAGGCCACGGTGAAAGGGGACCCGGACACACGTACCAGGAGGCAGGAGGCTGCACCACAGGGGGATGTAATCCGATGCATACACATCGCCTGATGGTGCAGTCCCTTGCACGTCCCCTGCGCTGCTGCACCACAGTATGAATGACAAGGGGAATGGCCGCAAACAGTCACAGGCGGGGCGGTGCATGCTATGAGGTAGGAAGGCAGGGACGTGCATGATGAGAAACACCAAGCAGCCCTGTCCCAGGCACAGATCCGCGAGTGCCATGTCCCGCTGGTGTGCTGGGTTGTACGCACAATGCACTTGGGCCAGTAAGGTTGCACTAGGTGTGTAGTGGATGGGGAAGGTTGTATCTGGAGGAGGCGAAACGGTACTAAGAGAAGGTGGTGTTTCGTGCATTACGTGCTGCAAGGAAGGCGATCGCAGGTGGCAGGTTGAAGTGAATGTGGCGCGACCATGGGAATGGGACTTTGGGTGAAGGAGGGGCTGCTGCTGCAAGGCACGTGGTACCTGGCACAAGCGCTGGCGTCGCAAGGCGCTGCCACAGCCACCCATTCATGTGTCAGCTGGAGCAAGAGGGGGAGGGTGCCAAAACACATGGGATAGCAGCACTGGTGGTTGTGAGAGATAGGCATGTGCTGGAAGGATGGATATGTGCTGGAAGGATCAGATTACAAGTTTAGTTTTCCTCTGCTTTCCAACTTTATGCACCGCACTCACATGCACCGATGCTGGCCCTGCTCCAGCCCCCCACCCACACTCACAGCATCTGCAGCAGCGCCACCTTCCTCCCCATCCGTGCCTCTTGGCTGGATCCATACGTCCCTCCATCGCCCCACTTGCTCCTTGCCACGCTCTGCCGCTCTTCCTCCCTCTGCTGCTGCGTCACCTACCCCTCCTCCCCCCTCTGCCAGCTCCCCCTGGCACCACATCATGGCGTCCATGGCCTCCCTCCTCCGCTCCGCCAGCTCCCCAAAGCGCGCCGCCACCTCAGCCAGCCATGCGCCACTCACTGCTGCCGCCTCTGCCCCCTGTTGTGACGGCATGGCAGTGGAGAGCAAGCAAGGTGAGGGAGCAGGGGAGTGGGGATAGACGGAATCATGGAGCAGCCATGCCGACAGCGAGTGCAGGAGAGGTGCAGAGGAGGGGCAGAAAGAAGCAGCAGGGAGAGGGGCTGCTGTGCTATCACCTCAGGAGGCGCAGCAGTGGCAGCGTGGGGGGGGTAGGAGAGGGTGGAGAGCAGCGAGGTGGCGAGCGCAGCGACGGTGGACTCGAGGTGGAAGAGCAGCGCGTTGAGGTCCGCTGGCAGCACACTCGTGGGGTGGCTGCTCGTCAAGTCCCCGCGGTCACTGTGCGGGCAGCACGACAGAAGGGTGCACACAGAACGGCGAGGCAGGGATGAAGCGTGGCATGAGCGGTGGCATTGGAGAGGGCGGTGGGGACAAGGGAGAACGTGCAGGGGAGGAGCAGCACAGTGGGGATGAAAGCATTGAGGTGAAGAGAACCAGATTCAACGCAATGAAGATGCAACTGTCACGTATGCTGGGGGAGCATGTGAAGGGTAGGAAAGACAAAAACTAGTGCAAACTCTAATGATGTAAGGTCCCGACGCAGCATACAGACAAGGGGAGCAGTTGCGGTGCGAGGAGGGGGAGAGGCGAGGGGAGGAGTGTGACGGACCGCATCCAGCGCGAGCTGAAGTCCCAGCCCGACTCAGCCACCGTCGCCAGCTCCCTGAACAACGCCGCCTGCACCTGCGAGGTGCCGCGCGGCGAGGTGGCGTGGTGCAGATGCTCCAGGGGGCGCTGCGATGCCAGGCGCGCTGTCTCCGTGTCCTGGCAGGGAGGACGACTTGCAGTGAGTGGTGGGACACACGCACATGGTGACAGCTGCAGGCAGTGGCCCCCACACAGGGACAGACGAATCACGGAAAGGAGGTGCCTGGGGAAAGAAGGAAACAGCACTTGAGAGAGAATGGAAGCTGAGGGAATGAGAGTGACAGCTGGGCGGAGCAGAAGGGCACCTGAGGAAAGGATTCAGGGCGAGGGCGGGTCCACATGGCATAGTAGCGAGAGAGGTTGAACGAGCGCCCAGAGGGAGGGTGGTACACTGTGATGCCATGCGGTGCTGTTGGGGGAAGTACAGGTGGTGTGTGGTGCGAGGCAGCAAGAACAGAATCAATTTGACTGGATTGAAATTGCAGGTGAAGGCAATGCCCGCCCTCCCCCTGCATCACGGCCTTGTGGCAGCATGCAATGGTCCAACGACACATGGACACATCTCAGCATGCAAGAAATCACGACTGTGGTTGTATAGCATTCCACCTATATACGGCTGTGTCCCAGCTCGCTCCGGCTCTCACCTTGCGTCCAGAACTCATGCTCCCTGACCAGCACAGGTAGTGCCTCCCTCAAGAGACTCTCCGCCTGCTCGCTGCGCCCCATGCCTGCGCCCTCACTCCCCGGTGACGCCTCCCCACCCTGCGGTGCGTGCTGGCCTTGCTCTCCCTGCCCCTGCGCCTGCAGCGCTGCATGCACTACACGCACCATGTGACTCAGCAGTGGCGGCTGGCTGCCATGCGTCGCAGTGCACGCAAATGCAGGGGGGAAGAAGGGAGGGGGGGAACGGGAGAACAGGGAGAGCGGCAGAGGGCATAAGTGAGTGAGAGTAAAATGGGAAAAAGGTTGGTAAATCAAGTGCAGAGAGGGAGAGCATGATGATGAAGCACGTGGAAGGAGGGGTGATGGGGAAGAAGAGCGAGAGCCTTGGTGGAGTGGACAGACCTTCTATTGAGGTAGTAAGCGCGGGAGCCGTTGGGAACATGGGCGTGCGTGCGGGCGAGATGCAGCAGGTTGCGCACGGCCGCCAGGGCAGAGTCCAGCATGCCGCTCACCAGCAGCCCCCTGCTCATGCATGCACCACACCACAGGGACGGGGGATGGGGGACGGGCGCACAAGACAAGTGCGCCATGAGCAGTTGCTGCTGGTGCCCACCGCTCTGCAGGGCTGAGCTGAACGTGAGATACTGACAGTTGTGAGAGTGTTCCCAGCACGCACCTGATGACCCAGCACGCACCTGATGACCCAGTAAGTGTCCCAGTAGTACATCTCCCTGAACCGCTCCCCCGGTACTATCACCGGCGCATGTGGCAGCGCCAGCAGCGAGCCTCCCTGCATCACCAGCCCATCATGCGGTGCTCCCCTCCCCTGCCCCCCGTCATCCTGCTGCTGCACCTCAGGCGCCGGCCCCGCGTCGACTCCCCGTTCCCCCCATGCACTGCGCTTTGAATCCGCGCAGGGGGGATGCGCGCTGGGAATAGCTGGAAGGGCGCGCACAGGATTGGAGGCCGTGGCAGTGGCAGCGGCGGTGGGAGGAGGGGCAGTGCGGAAGGAGAGGAGCGGCCAGAGGCGATGCACGGAGAGAGCCCACTGGCGGGTTGGTGGGTGGACGACACGCGGGAGGAAGGAGGGCGGATGTGGATGGAAGTCAGGGGGAGTGAAGGCATGAAGATCCGCGCCTGCCGGCGCCAGGTGCTGAGACACGATTTGCCGAGCTTCCTCTGCCGATAGCTCGTTGGCTGCAAAAACAAGGGCAGAAGGCGTGGAGAGAGAGACAGGCCCGGGTGGGGAGGGCAGACGGTGGGAAAGAGGGCGACGAGGATGGCGTGGAGAGGTGGGCCAGCAAGCAAGTAGCTGCGCGAGGCGGGAATGAAAATAAAAAAAGCAAACTAGGAAACGGGAGATTATAGCTTTGCCACGGCCAAGGCACTGTCACATCTCTCAGTTCTCAGCATTCCCCCATCCCACTATCAAGTCCCCTACGCTCCTCCTCGCCCCCACGCAGTTCAGCAGCCCAATCCGTTGGAATGCCTCACCTGCAGTGAGCGCGAGTCTGAGGGCGTCAACGCCAGTGAGCACGGCCATGTCAACGATGCTCTTGGCGTCGTCAAACGCGCCGCTGGCCCACAGCCGCGCCAGCACGTCCTCGCACTGCCAAACGGCCTGCACGTCGCCTGACGGGTCCTCCATGGGAGCTGGTGCGGTGTGAGGACCGTGAGAGAGTGCAACTGCAGAAACTTTTGTAGTCTTTCCTAGTTTCTTTCCGATGAGTCTCCCGTGTTTGAGAGGGGCTCAGGCCGTTGTACATTCGTAAATTTTAGGTCAGAATCGAACCTGCGCTCAATGTCGAGGGACATGCCACTCCCAACCAGATTGAGCCTGCATTTAGCGTAGCTCGAGCCTCACTCTGCTGGCAGGGAATCGACCTCCGCGAAAATAGCATCCGAAACCAGCATGCACGTCGCGAGAAGTGGACCCGCACAACCTGCGTTCGCAGACGTTAGGTGCTAGCAATGGGAATAGATGGGCCGCTCGTGACGGGATTGAGAGAGCAAAACAGGAGACGCTTGTACAAAAAGTTGGCACCAAGCCACGATTTTGCCACAGGGCTGTCGCTACAAGTAATCGCGACAGCCCTTTCAGGGCGGTCCAGCGCGTACGTTTTCCGTACATTACAGTTCATCCAATGCGGTAATCTGTATTGCGTCATGGTTCAAAACGGTGCACCGCCTGATATCTTTTCAAACCACTGCGAATGAACTGTATAGGACCTGTAAACGTACGCGCTGGACCCGCCCTCAGGGTTGGGTTCGTGTGGAGGACTAGTTTCGGGTCTAGCCCGGATTCGTTAAGGACTGCTTTTGGCTTCAGCCGGGATTTCCAGTATACAGAAACCTCACATTCAAACCTTCAGAACGATGCCCCTCCTAGGCTTGATGCCATGATGTGTATCAATCCCGTCTTGCATAACGCATGAGCCTTTTATTGCTGTATGTGTATTTGCACGTTATGATTTTTTCTTCATTGTACTTCATTGACAAGGCCTTCGAGGAAGTGAGCGCGGTGCTGAGCTGCTGGGCGTCAAAACATCTGAAGACCTCGGCGAGGGTTACCATTATTAACTGCTACGCGATGCCGATTCTGCTGTTTCAGGCACAAATATACGCCCCACCGCATGATATATGGAAGAAGGTGAAACGGCTGATTCACAGTTTCATCACAGACGGTAAATCACTTTTCGACAGGCACTTCTTCCTCTGGAGCTATGAGTTGTCCAGCAGGGAGCGGAAGGAAGGGGGACTGGGGGTTATTGATCCTAAGCACAGAATCAACAGCGTGGTCATCCAAAACCTCGGCAAGGCAGTGGCGGAACAAGACTTGTTACGATATGAAGTTTTATGAGAAGGCATTCCTGTATGCTGCATGAGCCGACTCTACCGAGTACGAAGTCGAGGAGTCAGAAGAGTCGAAGCGACGCAGCAACCGTCTGACCAAGACCGATGCAGGCAGAAACATTTGAAGTGAAAAGAGCGGGAACAGGTTTGAAACGGGTTCCCGCGCCGCACGGTTTGAATTCGGTTGTAATAAGGGAATGTACCCCTTAGAGTACATGGCTAGTCTAGGTCTTTTCGTATTCCCTTGTATTCTTATATAAACTCGATGTATGCATGCTATTATTAACTCAGTCATTTACATTCACTCTGACCTGAGATTCAAACTTCCGCTGCAATACCACTCTGCGATCAACCCTGAGCGATCCTTCGCTAAGTCCCACTTGGGATTGTAACATGGTATGAGAGCTATTCAGGGATTCTTCGCATCATCACTTCCTTGAAATTCGCCTAACCAAGATCTGGCGAGCGGCACACGCTCCAAGACCAAGATGGCCGGAGGATCCGGAGGCCAAGCAAATCTGACGGCTGAAGGACAATCCAATCCGGCTGCGACAAATGAGGCGACAACCACGATCGGCACTGCCGCACTCGAGCAACTTTTCGCTCGACTTTCAACTATGGAGAAAGAACTCCAAGATCTGCGCAAAGGCGATGCGGGAACCTCTTCCCAACCAGTTCAACCTGGACAACCGGCTGAGAAAAGCCGTGATACCGCCGCGCATACCTTCTCCCTCGACACAGACAAATCAACAACAACTGCCCCCCGTCCAAGTGATGAAGCCATCAACTCTGCGCAAACACGCTTCCTCAGCGTTTCAAAAATCAAAACTACTGCCGCGTTTGACGGCAAGGACTTCTACACATGGAGTTTCGAGCTTGAGCTCCTCCTACAAACGGCGCAGATCTACCATTACTTCGACGGCTCCTATCCTAAACCGGTGGAAAACACCGAAGTCGCCAGGGCTCAGTACTACAGCGAGTCCCTCATGGCATACAGTGTGCTGCTACGCAACATGACGCCTGCGGAACAACTCAACATTCGCTCCTACAAAGAGAGCGACGCTCCAGCCTTAGAAGCTTGGAAGCATCTCGTTGAAGTTTATCAGCCGAAGGACTCGGTCGCCGCCAGCAGGCTTCTGCAGCAACTCCTGGAGATAAAAATGGGGCACGGGGAGAAAGCGAATCCTTATATCAACCGCTGTCGTAACATCCGTGACCAGATCACGAAGCAAGGGAGTACGATCTCGGAAGAGATCTTCGTCAATATAGTCCTCCAAGGACTCGGGCCCGAGTGGAAGCCCTGCAAGGCGTTACTCCGACAGCGAGGAACAATCTCACTAGCCGCGCTATGCGCCGCACTCCTGTCCGAACAACAGGACATGGACTCGAGCAGAACAAGCTCCGCGCCGCGCCGAGAGCGCCTCGCCTTCTACGCAGACAACCGTGAAGAGCGACGACAACCAAGGCGCCATTATTGCAAAATATGCAAGGTCTTCGGACACTCAACGGATCGATGCAAGTCCCGATCCAACTATCGCCACCCAAATTCCACTCACCACAACAACTGGGTCGGCCGACAAGATGCTCGTCATCCCCAGTCTCAGCAACAGACACCTCGTCCTCCTGCGCAACACCAACATCAGCAAGGAACTCAAGGACCTCCATCAGGAGCTCCCAGGAACATCATCGCGAACATGACGACGCTCCGACGTCGCACTGCTGAACCTGACGAGGAAGACGAGATTCAAGGAAGACTCCTTGAACCAGAAGAGGGATGGAATAACCCCCTCACTGAAAATTTATATTACCAGTATGACGAAGACGAGCAGGATTGGAACCTGCCAATCACCTTGCGGGAAAGCCCGCCGCATGACAATCAACACTATGTACCGGTGGGATGGAAGGAGGACGAAGACCCTCTCTTCCACAGTCGCTACAAGGCAACCCTGGTGACTCCGCGACTGGCGCTACTTCTGCGCAGAAACAACAATGACAACCACAACACCTGGTAACTGGACAGCTGCTGCGAACAGCACATGGTGGGATCTACGCGCTACGTCTCGAATCTGAGCCGCGCCCCCCCAACTTACGTCACCGTCGCCAACAACGAGCAACTACGCGCCAATGCGCAAGGCATTGTTGTTCTGCAAGCACGAGACAGCAACACTCGCATCTCATTCAACGACGTGCTCTACGTTCCGAACCTCCGCTTCAATCTGCTCTCGGCTGGACAACTTCGCGACTACGGCGTCATTCTCACCACGGACCTCGCCACACGCGATCTCATTCTCACATACGCTCCGCCAGATACCCCTCCCGAATCGTTCAAGTATCTCGGACGAGCCCGCTCGATCAACGGGATCTATGTCCTGGACTTCGACGTACCTTCCTGCCAAGCTTCATCCGACGAGCTCGTGGACCTCGTTCCCCTCGAATTTGCCTACACAAGCAAATGGGAGCACCCGGACGGACGACCATGGGTTCGCCGCAGTCCCCATCCCCGCGAGGTCGATCTGCACGAGCCAGACATCAACGGACTGTGCACAACATGCCACACACCCACGGCAAGCCGCACAGAGCAAGTCGAAAAGGAATACGCAGCAATTCAGGAGGCGGAGAGCGCCGAAGCAGAACCCACAGGCATGACACGTGAAGAACTCGCCGTGTCATCTCACCGCATCTTCGGTGAGCCGAACGATGACTTCGGACAACCGCGTGTCGAACGACCGACACCATATGGCGAGACGCTTCGGTTCATCCTAGAAGCCAACACCACCACCTTCGACGACGATGGACGACCACGTCCCTACACCCGCGAAGTCTACCGCCGCAAAATTGACACGGCGTGGAAAGATCCTGACGCACCAGAGGAGCTCAGCGTCAAGGAAGAAAAAGTCAAGGCCCGGGCGGAAAAGAAACAGAAACTGTTTGAGGAACGTGTCGCGGCTGGATGGGATGAGGAGACAGCACGACGAGGCGCATGGGGAGATGAAGATTACGAACCAGAAGAAGGCGACGGCGCAACCTGGGGATCCGCCACTGGAGCATGGGGAGCCAGCGCCAGCGGTACGGTCAACACGGAAGGATGGGGCAACACCGGCGGATGGGGAGGAAACGAATACGTGGATGCGCCAATCACCAAGGAAGAAGAAGAAGAGATGGAACGCGAGATGCAAGCTGAGCGAGGAGAACCATCCCCTTGCGTCGCCATCCCACTCGGTCGACCCCCGCGCACCCGCTCACCTCCTTCCTCTCCCCATCGATGGCGTAATCGTTGGTCGGAGATTGAGGAGGGGAATGTACCACCAACTCCTCTACGGGACTCACTTGGTCCAATCTCCCGCCCAGATCCTTTCGCGCGCTTTATTGAAGGCACCACGACCCCGCTCACTATCATTCCCGACCGCTCTCTACCTCACAACCGCACCTGCAGAAGGGGAGACAATGGCAGAAGCAGAAACAGAGGAGCCGGACAACGAAGCGGAACCAGGAGAAGAGGAAGAACCCCCACTCCAGATCCCGCAAGTCACGGAAGCAGAAGCGGCAGAATACCTCGCTCGCTATAAGCGCACTTCCGGCATCCGCGCCGAAGATGATCTCTGGCACCAGCGGATGGGACACCCCTCCCGCCAGACCCTCGCCAACTGCCTCCGTGCTAAAGTCTTTCCGCCAGGAGCACTGATGCGCCCCGACGGAACAGAACCACACAACACCCCTCACCCAGTCACCTGCACTGTCTACCCCACAGCCGCTCTCTCTCACAGCGCCTACCCCTCCCTGGAGCCGAGCACCAAC